AAAAAAAAAAAAAATAAATAAAAAATAAAAAAATAAAAACTATTTGACAATTTTAAGTCTAGTATGAAAGCTCCTTCCTCCAGAAATCTGTTTGCTTCTGCCACATACCTGGGATCACTATCAGTCTGAAGGCACCTTAGTTGAATGTTAAGGTTCGGCAGACCACATCAGAAGACCTAGACCAGCCTTCAAACCACCTCAGCTTCATACTGAGGTGCAGCTGTTCCATATCTCAGCTCAGTGGGTCAAGAAGGATTAGAGTCCCCACCCTGGGCCAGCCCTTGGGTTTAACTTGAGTTCATCTCACCCCCACAGGGCTCTAAAAATCCAGCTCAGTTTGTAGTTACTTCTTCCTGAGCAAGATACCCACCTACACACTTAAGTACTGAATTAAGCAAAGTGGACATTAAGCAAAGTTCACCCTGGTACTCCCAACCCTCAGGCTGTCCTGCATGGGGTTGGGGGCAGCTCTAGACTTATTCAGAGCACAGTCAGCACCACACAGGGAAGGAGGTTGACACCAAAACTTCCTGAGGCTTCCTGTTATGAGATGGCAGGCTCCAATGAGGGCCCCTGGAGGGATGTAACCACAGGCTGGATAGATCCTGGTAGGATGTGTCAGGTCATTCAAACCCCTGCCAGGTGGATCAATGAAAATAGATATCTCAAAGAAGGTTATGATTTTTTTTTTTTTTGAAACAGGGTCTCACTCTCACCCAGGCTAGAGTTTGGCAGTCTGATCACAGCTCACTATAGCCTCGACCTCCTGGGCTCAAGTTATCTTCCTGCCTCATCCTCCCAAGTAGCAGGAACTATAGGCATGTGCCACTACACCCAACTAATTTTTTAATTTTTTGTAGAGAGGGAGCCTCACTATGTTGCCCAGGCTGGTCTTGACATCTTGACCTCAAGTGATCCATTAGCCTTGCCCTCCCGGAGTGCTGGGATTATAGGTGTGATACACTGTGCCTGGCCACTGGTTATGATTTTATGGTCTTAACCATATCACTGCCCCGAATTGTCACTTGTCTCCACAGTCATTCCTAGCCTCCTCTCATGAGCTCAATCAACATGAGCTGCCAGAGTTTCAGATTTTATTTTAAAACAATAGTAAACAATTTCATTGATTTTTTCCTAAATCAAACCACCTCACACTCAGCTTCTCTCAAGCAAAAAGTAAAAAACAAAAATAATAAGGGAAGGGGAGGGAACTGTGGGAACTGACCTACCTTCCCTAAAAATAAGCCCCTGGTCCTGGCATCCGGAATGGCTTTTGGACACTGTCTTTTAACAAATGAGAAAAGAAAGCACCAAAATATTGTGCTTCAGCAGCAGGTTAGGAACCGCCACAAAGAAAAAAGGAGGGGAGGGGAGAATCCAAACACAGACCCCAAGTGGCCTAGTTCAGTTCTCGCAACTTCCGAGAGTCTGGAAGCATCTTCTGTCCACGACTCTGTTTCAGAATGACTTAGAGATGGGTCACTTTAGGAAGAGCCTCCTCTGAACTGGGCTGGTGGGGATCTGTGAGCCCACACCAAGAACGCAAGCTTGAGGATGACCCTGAACAGGTTCCCAGCCGGTTGAAGTGAGCGGAAGGACAAGGACATATTCAGAACACACAGAGGGAAGGTCAGGGGACTTGAGGCACCCACTGCCTCACTCCTCTCCTCCCCACTCCTGTGCCTTTGCGCTTTGTTCAAGTGGGATGAAAACTAACAGCAACTGGGATGGTAGGACAAGGAAGAGCTGTAAACAGCTTGGGTTTGCTCACCCTCATGTGCAGACTCTTTTGTCAGAAAGGGACTACTGTCTTGGGGACAGGGGACCAGAGAAAGCCCTTGTAGTACAGGTTCAGTCTGGGGTAGAACACAGTAATAGCCGCCGCCAGACGCGTGCTC